TATTTTTCACAACTAAATCCAGTAAGGCCTTAAAGATTGAAGCTCTTCCTTTGCCAGAAGCCCTTAAAATTCGCTGTACGATATTCTTTTTAACCATTTTATTGAACTTGGAACATTAAGAAAATTGGGGGAATAGGGGAACATTAGGGAAATAAAAAATTTGTTCAATTTTTATTGTTTAATTCCAGTAATCAATGTTCAGTAAAATGACGAAGAAAATTTTTGGGGGCTCGTTACGAAGGACTTGAATCTTCAAAATGATGGTAAATTTAGCTACGAAATAAATTTTTTCAGTAACGTAAAGTCATCTGTGTAGAGGCATCACGTTTCAAAACGAAACAAGTGGATCGCTACATGATTTTCTTTCAACGAAATTGTACAAGTTTAAATTATCGACAATTTTTTCATTGTCTTTGGTACAGTTATGCTTCTCGTTGTGCATGAAGGTTTGATAAATTCTGAATAGTGCAGATTGTAATGTACAATATGCACAAAGATACGTGTAAAAATTTAGACAAATAATACAACACGAATTTCTAGAATCGATCGCGCTGCATCATCCGCTAAAATATCTTTTCGCATTGCCCTGACTCCGTACTTGTTAAATCAGCGATAGAACAATGAATACTTACCGATTGTATCGTTCAAGTTCTGCATTGGAAGTATTCGAGTAAGGAGCGTTCACGGTGGAATGCTTATATAGAGCTTCAAGTTTTCCGTGGATTGTACTTGCTACGCGTTTTATATCACGCTGCTTTGCGATACCTATCTCGTTTCAATTTATTCTTCAGCAAGAAATCTATCTGTTTGAACGACGACAGTTTTCAGCGATTCTTATATCTGTTATCAAGTGAATTTAATTCACTAGCTTTGAGCATAGAAATCAACGAGATGTGCAATCTTTGCTATAGAAAGGCTTCTTAGTCAATTAATTAATAATTGCATATAATTTGAATATTTTCTAACAAAATGGTTGTTCATCAACGAAATAAGATACGAGTCGCGCAGAGTCGGGGACCATTTCGCAGGACTTCCTGCCAATTTCTCACCGGTAGGCCGGTGTCCCTTTAAATCTCGGCGAGTGGCGAGTTAAAAACGAGCCTCTCGTCGCTGCTAGCACTTATTATAACGTTGTTCCCATCCGCGAGGGACGACGATGGCGGAGGTGGAGTTAGGTAAAAAAGCAAAGGGCGAAGGCGAAGGCGAGAGAGGGCGCGCGTGTCGCGGAGCATTCCGGTGTCAGGATGCGTTCACAGAGCGCTCACTCACCTCGACGCTACCATTAATAATCACTTTGATGCATAACGCGGCCTTACTATTATTTACGTCCGACCGACGGTCGTGCAGCGTCACGATTTACGACGCATTGTGGCCAAGGCTTGTGCACACCGACTCTCGCCGCCGAGTTCCCCTCTCCCATTTTTTCTCCCCCTCCTTCCTCGCCTGTTTGTGTTTTTGTTTCAAACCGAATCGAGTGCTTGATGGAGTTCCTAGAGATAGGATTATTTCTTTATTCTCTGTACGATGGTGTATACTACCCATTATTTTTAGAAAATATTTTTACCAATATCCTAGAACTAGGTCTTTTCTTGACCAAAAAAAAAAAAAAGAAACTACGATTAGGAATTACAAAAACTTGCGATTCTTCTGTCATAAGAATTTGTATAGTCTCTGTAGCAAATCATCCCTTATATTTCTGTTGAATCATTGTTGAACGGAATACAGTTGACTTTCAACGTTCAACAAATGTGAAGTTAAGAAATGTTAAAGGATAGAGAAAATGAAGAAGGCACTCGCTGCCTGTCGTAAGCAAAGTAATAATACGCGCGCGCGTAAGTAAATGATGCGAGGCGAAGGACAAGAGGATGGGAGGTCAGGCTTCGCCTGACAAACTTGCTGACGGGTTTTAATTAGCGACAGGGGGGGAGGAGATTAGACAAAGTGAGGCACTCTTGCAGCCGCGCTGGCATCACTAATGCATCTGGGAATGGGATTCCGAGGGGGTGGGAAGGCGAGAGACCTTCAGAAGTGACAATTTCAGGAACGATTAGCCGTCACCGTTTGAGTTATGCGCTTACTAAACGGAGCACCTCGCACCCCACGGAACGGAACTGTGGCGTGCATTTCGTAAAAATAGAATTAGAGGGTCTGGAAGTGTGTATTCTCTCTCTCTCTCTCTCTCCCTCTCTTTCTCTTTCTCTTTTTATAGTGCGAGGGTGACCGGGGGCTGAACGAGACAAAAAAATTAGGCCGGTGATTACACGCATTAAAAGGAAGACGCCGTTGATGTCTTATTTATTTCTGGCCCCGTTTCAACGGGGAATTTCTGGCTGTATGCTACGTAAATGTTATTTAGATCCGTTTTACCGGAGATTCATTAAGTGTTGTCTTGAAATTATTTAATCAAAAAGAGCGAACAGAAGTGTTTATGATAATGTGTTTTCGTACAATTATTCTTTGGTAAATGTATCTTGAATGAAATTTCGTTCGGAGATAAATTGAGCGTGAGTTGCATTTCCAGGTCGAACTTACAACGACTTGAACCAGTACCCCGTGTTCCCATGGGTGTTGACTAATTACGAGACGAAGGAGCTCGATCTCAGTCTGCCCAGCAATTATCGTGATTTATCAAAGGTATAAAGAAAAAAGTATTATTGGTATATTTCATCGCCTGATGCTCACTGAAATTTTGCTACGTCTGCTCAGCCAATCGGAGCGTTGAATCCAAGTAGAAGGGCTTATTTCGAGGAACGCTTTCAAAGTTGGGAGCATGACAGTATACCGCCGTTCCATTACGGCACGCACTATTCCACAGCTGCTTTTGTTTTGAACTGGATGATACGCGTGGTAAGTGTTAGTTTAGGTACTTTATTTTTGACACGACTAAACATATGCAGTTTGCTCAAATATATAAAAATGAGAATGATGCCTTTTCGGCTCGATATTTTGTAAACAGAGATCAATTCAAAGCCCGGAACAACACGTAGAGTGATCTTAACGAGATCGTCTCATTCTCGAGCTCTTCTGACTATTTTAAAAAAAAAACCTGTCTACTTCGAGCCATAAATTTCGACGGATCCGGTAGTATCCACACGCTAATTTGGGGGCGTCGAAACGCCCTGGCAATCAACGAGGCCCGCCTTCTCAAATCCATGCATTTCATCAGCTTCCTCCTCTTTCTACATCTCAAAGCTACACGTATCGTTGCAATTTTTATTACTTTATCGATCGGACATGTTAATTTCATTGCTATCGCCACGCCGAGCAAGACAAGGGAAATGTCATTTATATGATTCCTTTATTACAAGAATTGAATTTAAGTACCCTTTTTTGAATGATTTTACATCTTTCTAATACTAAGCTAACAAGATTACTGATTGCAATAACTCCCAGTCTCAGATTAAACATAAAATGCGTCCTCTTTCGCAAATATATTTATATTTGCCTCTTCATCACTGTTGTAGTTGCTTTTTGTCTTATTTTAAATAAATAAATAAACGATTTATCAGTGTTCCTAGTACAATCCATTACACATATGTATACTCGATAGCGATCGAATCCTTACCAACGAGCATGATTTCCTCGCATTTACATACAAATCGTCAATAAGACGATTTTACTGTTGTTTCACTGGCGAGACACCCCGCTGTTTCCCCGCAAGAATATACTACATCGTAAACAATTTATTGCTTTATAACTGCACCGCTTCTTGTCTCATCGTGGCCGGTTTCGCCCGGTTTCGCCTTCGAAGACGTGGCGCGGCAACATAGTTCCAGGCTTCAAACCGCTCGTTTTCTCGCGTCATTGTAAACGTCGCGGGCGCAACTTGTCGAAAATCTCGCTCGCCGACAGCATTGTAAATCACAGCTGTATCTTCGACGCCTACGCGTGAAACCCGTGTGCCGATCACAGGGGGTCCTCTGTTAACATTCATCAGCCTGTCAGTCGAATGGACGACTGACGGACGACCAAGAGAGGACTTTAAGCGCGAAACCATACAACAAACTGGCGTTTCTCGCCGGTCTTCTCGCGTGACGGTCTCAGGATTTTCCTCGCTATTTCCTCGTAGGGCAAACGCGTGGCAGAATTGTTGGAGGATTCTTCGTTGGAAGGAAGTTCAGTCGAAAGTTCACCAAGTTAGAAGAGAGAAGAGAGTTCGAAAATCAAAAAGAATATAACGATGACAATGTTGACAATTTCTTGACGAAAAATAATCATATACCAAATTTTCGCGAGTTCAAGACGAGGCTACAATCTTCGAATCTATTGCAGATTTAATCACAAAACATTTTGTTTTTTTTTGTCAATATTTTTACATACTATGGCAAGCCAAGAGTATATACATTTCGAATGTACAAACTTTTAAGCTTATAGCAATTTCAATTTACTGTGATTACTGTTCAATCAGGTTTGGAGTATTGGAACATTCAGCGAAGAATTGATGTTCACGTATTGCGAATTTGATTTATTTCAGGAGCCGATGACAACGATGTTCTTGGCGCTGCAGGGTGGCAAATTTGATCATCCGAATCGTTTGTTCTCCTCGATCGCTTTATCTTGGAAGAATTGCCAACGTGATACTTCGGACGTTAAGGTTCATGTCACTTTCCTCTTTATCTTCGAGAGCCTATCTATCAAATGTATTGTAACAAATTATTCTTCTTAATAGGAGCTGATTCCGGAGTTCTTCTTCCTACCGGAAATGCTAGTGAACAGCAATCGGTATCGCTTGGGCAGGCAAGAGGATGGCAGCGTGGTTGGCGACGTTGAATTACCACCGTGGGCATCGTCGCCGGAAGAATTTATACGAATCAATCGAATGGTAAGTCTCGAAAATTGCATTCGATTCGGATATACATTGAAACTCATATTTCTTCTTTTTTCTTTTCTTTTCTTTTTTTTTT